GGACGCGGTTTAGTCGGACGCGGTTTAGTCAAGCGCGGTTTTGTGGTGGAACCCATGTGCACAGTGAACCGGTACCAACTGGTACAGGAACCCACCCCTGCCACCCATGTTAACTTTTCACTGCTATTCTCTGAAGTAGCTATAAAGTATCCATGATTTGATGGTCATAAGATTTTGAAATCTGGCCAGCATAAAACATCAATGAATTATTAGCAGGATTGTTCAAATACCTATAACTCAAAAGACGGAGTTGATTTTTGTTTCCTGGAGAGATATTGTGCACAACAATCTCTTTTGTTAATTCAGTAGGAGCTTGATGACCCAAGGCTAAATATAGATGCCATCCTCCTGAAATAGACTATCCAATACAGACTAAATTGAACCCATCAACGCAAATTAAATCAATCCCATCTATCCTTACAGAGTATTAGAGAGAAGCTGGAAGATGGATGTTGCCCAGGATGGACTCTCACCTGGTAAAAAGTCCTGAACTCTTAGATTTGTAGATGAAATGTCGAAGGTCTGGAATTCCCACCTGGGAAACACTGTAGAAAGGCGTACGCACTGCTTCCAAGAGAGCATGATAAACACCGCGCTTCTTTAGGCGTTCTTGGAACTTTTGCTTGCAGTGAGATACAGTAAAGAAGTCCTCACGATCGGTAGAAATCAGGACAAGGCACAAGTCAACGTTTGGTTCCAAATAAGAAATGTGAGCATGGAAGAAACCATTGGAATTGAACTTGGGAAGGCATATTGGAGTCCAACCTTCTCCTTCTCTAAATGAGGAGGATGAGCTAATGAGATTAAAGAGTAAATGGAGATCAATTGGATGAAGGAATTGGTCCCTTTTCCTGACAAGTGATACCAATTGGTTTTTTGACAATAAGATGGCAAATACCAGGCTTTTAGCTTTGGCTTGTTGAAGGCAAGCACTCACCACATCCCTGACTCCGGCCGCCATAGGCAGGCAACGTGCCGCCCCCATGAGAAAACTGGGGTCTCTAGCCATCAGGTCTACCAAATTGTCAGTTATACGCTCAGAGCCTGCTAATAGTCTCCTTAGATCATAGTTCTGCATCTGTTGGAATATCCGGTTAAGCTGGGTCAATGTCAAAAGACTGACTATCTGGTAATAGATATAAAGGAGTTCCTGAGCAATTTCTTGCTCTGACTGTCGAGTCTGAGCCACTGCAACAAGCACCAGGGGACTCTTGCGCACAAAGACCACCTTGTATCCATCTGGCAAAGAGTCAAAATGGAGAGGGAGAGAATGAGAGAAAGTGTGTCAATATTTTGAGCCACAGTGGTAACCCTAAGGCCCTTTTTGACAATAGTTTTTTACTTCAGTAAGGGTTACTCTTGGGAATTGCCATTTTCTGATAATGATTGGTCTTTGCATGCAAGGGATGTGTTATTAATCTCTACCTGCAATCTAAAATGGCACAAACCATAGGTTTAGTACTTCTGTGAGAAATAACGAGAATTAATTAAAATTATTCTTAGGTTTTGAAAGTTCTTACTTAAGAAGTTTTGATTAATTCTCTTCCACCTATAGGCTGGACACTAGCATCCGTCTTAGCAATCTAATCATGTTCTTCTGTCTGAACATTGATTTTGATTTTATTATAAATTGACTTTGGATCTTCTCTTTACAGAAAACATTCTATTTTGTTAATCTAGGCCTTACCTGATGCGAAACTAAAGATGAAATAGCATATTATCAAATTATTAAACTTGTTAAGTTCAACCAAATTCCCCACACCCATCTTAAATTACTTTGTTAATTTTAATGTATTTATTGTCCTACTGTTTTAACCTTTTATAATATTGTTTTATTGGGTTGCAAGCCGCCTAGAGTCACATAACATGTGGGCGGTGAGTAAATTTAATAAATAGATAACTTACAGAAGCATTTTGAATTGTTTTGTGTAAAAATCAGAACTATGTCATCCTGATAGCTCTGCAGAAGACTCTGCAGTCTCATTTCTTTTGTCTTTCTCTCATACCATATTCTAATTTCTAACAGCCCTACTTTGTTGGGAGGAAGGGTGTGAATGAGTACCTGCATGAATTGATCTGATGGCATTCTTCTCTGCTTCTACAAAGGAGACCAAAGCCATCATTACTCCCATGGTAGTAGACAAAACCTCTTCACATCCATACCGTGAGTATATGGGCTTGCCTGCCTCACTTAGAACAAAGATATGCTTCTGATGTATGCGCCAGGCCTCCATGGTTATATCTTCTTCTTCTTTCCCTGATAGGACTGAATCGCGACGTGAACCTTGTGGCGAGAGTTCCAAATTGCCCTCACTGTTCTGCCTTATCTCTTCTTCCAGGTCCAGTGCTATACCAGTGAGTTGTGTGCTTAGTTCACTGAAATCCTTGCTGATCTCTTCCATCTTGAGCTCGTCACCTTGAAACTCTTCCCTCTTGCCTGGGCTCTTGGCTGCCGATTCTGTATTGTCTGTACCGGTTAGGTCCTCATATGACCTAGTGTGAACAAATATGGCTCCCTCTTGGCCTGCCCCTGATAAACAATACCAGGATAAGTGGTCAGTTTTTCAGAACAGAACTAGGCAACAGTTTAAGCTCTGACAAAGGCATCAGAACAGAATTTTTTTTTTTTTTTTTTTATTGAAATTTGTAGGCCGCCCTTTTCCCTGAGGGGACTCAGGGCGGCTCACATAAAATCAGGG